AGCCCGTTTATCGAATGTCTTTCCTGTTTCAAGAGCTCTCTGGTAAGCGGCCTTCGCGGTGGGTCCTCTGGCCATAATATAGGGCGGGACTGAGTGCTCAGTTTGGAACTTGCTCAAAGAAGAGACATCAGCTCTTTCAGATCTATTATTTTTGGAAAGAATGGTTTGCGCTCGTTCATTCCAATGCTTTGCCTGCTTAGGGGTACCAATGACATCACAGATGGTGGCCAGGTTTCTGCAAAACATTGCCACGTATATATTTTGAGGTCCTGACCTCTTCACGAAAATGTTACGCGCACGCTCAAAGTTATCCTTTGCTTGCACAAGATCTCCAAGGGAACTACAAACTGTCCCCAAGTCACTGTAAGAAAGTGCCACGAAATCGTGCTCAGGTCCTAATTTCTTCAAACGAATATCCAGCGCACGACCATGATAGTCCTTTGCTTGCTGAAATTCACCAAGGGCATGAGTTACGGTCCCCAGAGCACTGTAAGAAGCTGCCACGTAAACATGCTCAGGTCCTAAATTCTTCATACGAATATCCAGCGCACGACCATGATAGTCCTTTGCTTGCTGAAATTCACCAGGGGCACAAAATACGGTCCCCAGAGCACTGTAAGAAGCTGCCACGCCAACATGCTTGGGTCCCAAATTCTTCAAACGAATATCTAGCGCACGACCATGATAGTCCTTTGCTTGCTGCAATTCACCAAGGGCACCACATACGGTCCCTAAGCCACTGTAAGAAGCTGCCACGTCAGCATGCTCAGGTCCTAAATTCTTCAAACGAATATCCAGCGCACGACCATGATAGTTCTTTGCTTGCTGAAATTCACCAAGGGCACAAAATACGGTCCCCAAGCCATTGTAGGAAGCTGCCACGTCAACATGCTCAGGTCCTAATTTCTTCCAATAAATATTCAGCGCACGACCGTGATAGTCCTTTGCTCGCTGAAATTCACCAAGGGCACCACAAACGGTCCCCAAGCCACTGAAAGAAGTTGCCACGTCAACATGCTCAGATCCTAGATTCTTCAAACGAATATCCAGCGCTTGACTATGATACTCCTTTGCTTGCTGAAATTCACCAAGGGCACCACAAACGGTTCCCAAGTCACTGTAAGACGCTGCCACGTCAACATGATCAGGTCCTAAATTCTTCAAACGAATATTCAGCTCACGAACATGATTGTCCTTTGCTTGCTGAACATCACCAAGGAACCCAGATGCGGTTCCCACGATACTGTAAGAGGTTGCCTGGTCAGTCATGCTCAGGTCCACCCTTCTTTAAAGGAATCCCCAGCGCACAATCTTGCTAGACACTAGTACACTTTCTTCATATCGAAAGACGAAATTACAAGAGTTTTCACTGAGTCAAAAGATGACAACGGTAAACAAAAAGTGAATTATTTTGACTGAAAAAGAAACAATATTACTGAAGAAATTCTAAAATGAAACAATTGTTAGGAACGACCTACTAAGCTACTTTCTAGAAGGGTTACAACTTCTACAACTTTCAAGAGGAGAGCACGAAGGTTTTGTGTCATTTGAGAGGTGCACAAAAGTTAACGGAAGTTTTAGATGCAAAAGATTACCTGGTGGAGATGGGTTTACATTCGAATTCTGCTCGTCTTTTTTTAAGTCTACTAGCAATGATATCGCAAATTCTCTCACTGCTGGCTGGGAAGAAAGTTAACCATCAATCTCACGACGAAGGGTGGTAATAAGTCTCGGTTATACCAACAGAAACTTTAAAAAACTGCAAAAGAACAACTTGATTAGCGTTTATACAATGGACAGTCACTATTTTTCACACGATTGGCTTACTTTCCTAACACAAAAGTATTAGAGAAATGTTTCCAGTGTTCACGATTTCCACTAAATAACAACCTCTTTGATTTGTATCGTTTCTTAATTGTAAAGATGACCACAATGACCGCAGCTTCTTCATAAATGAAGACAAATGACTGGTATAAAACTTTAGAGACGTCGGCGAGTTGGTCCTAAATCCAATACAACTTATTAGAAGTTAAACATACAGAAAAGTAAACGATATTTAGTAAAAAAAACACTGGTGAACATTGGTGAACATCAAACAGAAGCTTAAACATTGGTGAACATTGGTGAACATCACCAATGACTATAACAGCTTAAGACGCGAACGAGTTAAGTGGCCGGTCGAAGTTGTTTTAGAAAACACAGAACCGATCACGGGGAGGCTCATGGGAAGGGCAAAGCTGAATAAAAAATGTACGTCACATTTATGCGGTCAACAACGCGGGCTCAGGCGTACCAGATTTAAAATTCATCGTAATTTGGGGGAAAAAAGGCATTTAAGGAGGCTGGAGAGGCTTTTTAGATGCACACGCGCGCGCAATCTACACACGCCACAACTAAGATGCACGCGTCAGGTGAATGAATCCAAATCAGCACAAGAAAGATCTAATTACCCCAAACCCCCCTCCCTGACAAACTTTCAAATTCCATTGATCATAAAAATCTGCTGCCCAATTTAGACTTTGTTCCAATAACGAACCCTAACTGTTTCTATATCATATCTGTTCACAAGAGAATGGAAATTAAATGTTATTTCATGGTTTGCATTTACCTTACTACGTGGAAGACTCGCCACCAGTAAATTTGCCACAAAGCTCACTGGCTAATTAGGAAAAAATTAAAAGTTTTCAGCAACCCTTAAGTTTGATCTTGAGTCTCATGAGCATCACCATAAGAATGCCATGAGCAATACTGCAGAGCCAAGCTGAAAGCTTGATAGTTTTTTCAAGATGGCAAAAGATGAGTCAAATGCACGTAACAATCAAAATGCAAACAATTTGATCCAATCAAAGAAATATCAAATGGACCATTGAACAACAAAGTCAAGCCTGTAAATATTTAAAGTGTTCATCAAAGGAAAAGTAAACCAAATTGACAGTAACTTTTTAATAAAAAAAAAAAACAAACGACAAGATTGACAAGAAATGGTTTCAATCCCACACATTTATTTTTGTCTACAAAACAAGTGATTTAAACGCTCAAAAGGAAATCCTCTTAACCTTTTTACCAATAACAACCACAAGCAATAAGCTAGTGCTCAAGCAAACATGCAGTTATTTAATCAAACATTTAATGGCCATATTTAAGGTGGCTCCATAGAGTTTTTTGATCATGCAAGATCTGGACCCAAACATGGTGGAGTTTTAAAAATATCGCCAAGCAAAACAAATATGGCAGTTCAATACAACTGCATTATTCATATCAAGAGGTATGTAAAAGATATATATCCACATTATGGACTCTGGGAATTCTAG